AAAAGAAAAAAAAAAAAGCTCTGGGAAACAGGTTAGGAAACGATCCTTAAACTTCCGTAGAAATAATAACCCCTTGGGGAAACTAGTAAAGGAACTCCAGGGCTTGCACCAGCGGTATATTCCCCGCCACAATAAGGTGGGTTCTTGTGACGAGCTAAGTGTGGGAAGCACCGGTTTAGCTTGTGTGAAAAGCAAGGGCAGCTTCTTGGCTGGACTAATCGATCTCCTCCATTTCCTGACGTCCCAGGAAAGCCTGTCGGAAGTCACACTCCCATGACGGACCACAGATGCATTTCTGGATGCAAACAAACTCCCGCGTTTGTCAAAGTTAGTCCTGACTAATGACTGGGCAGCGACGCCAAGGCGGTGCCAGATCTGAGTCGCCAGCAGATGCCTGGCAGGCGTGCAGAGGCCCACGGCGGCCCCCCTACCTGTAAGTGACGGTGTAAGAGGTAGGCGGTGATTGGGGAGCAGTAGAGGGGCCGGGCCCAGGTGCTCGTGAGACCCACGGTGTGGTCCGAGTGCATGTGGGACAAGAAGAAGAGCCGCGCCGACCCGGCCCGGCGCAGGCTCCAGAAGTCCACCGCGATGGGCGTGTGGGGGATCAGGAGTCCGTTCATGGCGGCGGGTCCGGAGGGTCACCGGTGGGCCGTCCGGAGGGTCACCGGCGGGGACAGGACTCCGCGCCCGGCTCCTATGACAGCACCCCGAGAAGGGTCGCGCTGGGGCCACAACAGGGCCGGAGCCCCTGAGGAAAGCCAGCCCATGGGGGTGGAAGAAAGGGAGCGCCCGTGGCCGGGGTTGCGGGTGGAGGCGCAGACTGCCCGCTCCGCCGGCCGAACGCCACCCCCCAGCGCGCGGGAACCGGGCCGCCGCGCGGCAGTCAAAGCGCGCGCCGCCGGGCGGAAACAGGCCGAAGTAGCCGATGCCCGAGCGCTCGCCGTCCTCCACCAGAGGGAGCCGCGCGGCTGCGCTGCGAGGTGAGAGGTTGGGGGAAGGGCGCGTAAGGTCGGGTCGCGGCTAAGCTCGGCGCTCTCAGGGAGACTGTGAGTGGCAGCTGCTCGGTGAGGGCTCTCGGGGAGGGGGCGGGACTTCCGGCCTGTCAGTGACAGCAACCGCATGGAGGCGCAAGACGGGCCGGCGCTGGAGCTGGAGGGCGCTGCGGACTCGGCGGCCCGGCCGGAGCTGGTGCCCAAGGCCTAGAGGTAGCCGCAGCGATCTCAGGGTGTGGCGAACCGGCCTGCAGATCCCGCCCAGCTCGGAAGCCCCGAGCAGCCGGGGGTGGGGGGGTCGCCCAGGGGAAGAGAGCGTGGGTGCCTCCCGGGGGTGGGGGACCCAGGCTGGCCGAGGGCCCCCGGGCTCTTCCACTGACCGGCCTTTCCTTTGCCCAGGTGCCCACCTCGGGGCCAGGAGCCCACGGAGGACCCAGGGGGTTGTGGCCCGGCCGGTGACCGCGGGCGAAGATGCCGTACCTGGGCTCTGAGGACGTGGTGAAGGAGCTAAAGAAGGCTCTGTGTAACCCTTACGTCCAGGCTGACCGCCTGCGCTACCGGAATGTCATCCAGCGAGTGATTAGGTATCTGCCAGCGCTGGTGCTCTCCACCCCACCCCGCCTCCTCCCGCGGCCGCTGCCCACTGCCCACTGCCCACGAGCAGAGGAGCTTCCACACTCGGCCCATTGTGTTGAGGTTCCTGCGTCTCTGGTGGGCCACCCCGGTCTCCCTTGTGAGACTTTTATTCAGCTGGCTCGCTGCGACCATCCCTCGAACTGCCGACTCCAGCATCTGTAATAGATATTTAGCACAGATCTCCTTTTTAATCTTCAGCCCCTCAAATCCTACTGCCTGCTTGGCGTTTCCACCCGAAGCTTTCTTCAAAGACATGCAAAATAGCAGCTGCTCCTCCCCCTTCCCCAGACCTGCTCTGCTACTTTTGTGTTGATGTATGGCAGCACCCAGCTGACCACATGGGTGTCAACCTTGAAGACACTGACCACTCATCAGATGACAGGGATTCTTAGTTTTAAATATGCATCCTTTAAAAAGAATTGTTTTAATTGGGGCAGCTGCTGTTCTGTGTTCATCACCAAAGCCATTGCAACAGCTCACCAGTAGGTCACCTCGCCTCCCTTTTTTCCCAGTCAGACTTTTTTCAGTAAGTGATTTTGAGTATCCAGCTCTTGTCTATGGCTGTGGGCCACACATTTAGTATGTGTGGAAGTTCTGCAGGGTGCATTTTTTTTTTAAAGATTTATTTGTTTATACAGAACTGGGGTACAGGCCAGAGATGTGGAGGGTGAGAGGATTCACCAGGAACAGTGGGGAGCAGAACAGACAGATCGACGAAGTACACTACTGAGGGGAGCAGCGGGCGGGTCAGGAGAGGTCTGCCACGCCATGTGGATCTCCTCAGGGGCAGGCGGGGATCAAACTCATGCGGAAGTGGTTTAAGCTTCTTAGTGCAGTGCTTTAACCCGCTGCGCCACCAGGGAGGGCCCTGCAGGGTGCATTTTTAAAGTATACTTTTTATCAATCTGCTAATTCTGATTTCAGTAGGTTGGGATGGGACCCAGGAATCTGCATGCAAAACCCATCCCACCTGATTCCTCTAGGAGGCCAGTATTTGAGAAACAGTGATCTGTCAAGTCTAATCTTCTTTTCATGCCACCCAAGAAACACCCCACTAATCCAGCGACCTGAGCACAGTATAAAAAATGTACTATTCGAGCTCATGTCGACATACCTGATAGCATGTACTTGTCCACCAGACCTCCCTGGTGAGCTCCTGCTCATTCAGCTACAGTACCCTTCTTCTGTCAAAACATTTTCTGACTTCCTGGCAGTTAGACGTCTGGCTTCCCACTAGGCCTTGCCCATTACTTCTTCGTAATACTTATCTGTTGTACTATACTAAGTGGCATTCTTTTCTGGGCTTCTTAGTAGACTTTGAGTTCTGGAGATCTGAGACCATGCTTTCTTCAAGATGAGGTCCCCAGAACATATTCCTGGCATATAAAAGCTGAATTTCTCTGGCATTTATCAGGGATTCAATAATGTTTGTTGATTTAATGGAACGGCGTCTATTGTGAAGTACTGTGTAATATAATAGACAAGCTAGGTCTGCTTGCTTCCCCCCAAGAGATTGCACTCTAGTTGGATAAACAGGAAATGTTTCAGTACAGCCTGTGGTGGGTTGCTGATTATGTTTTATTCTTCCCTCTATGCTTGTTGGTTTCAGGCACATGACGCAGGGCCTGGACATGTCTGGTGTTTTCATGGAAATGGTGAAGGCCAGTGCTACTGTGGATATTGTTCAGAAGAAGTTGGTTTATCTGTACATGTGCACATATGCCCCCCTTAAGCCAGACCTGGCTCTCCTGGCCATCAATACACTGTGCAAAGATTGTTCGGACCCTAACCCAATGGTGCGAGGGCTAGCGCTACGAAGCATGTGTAGCCTCAGGTGAGCACCCTCCTGGCTGTTTCTCAGTGGCTGAGGAGTTCAGGAGCTTGTGGGGGGATGTTTTTAACGACCATTTATTCAAGCTCCTTAATTCTAGGGAAAACACTGTTGTGACAGGAACTCGGGTTTTCAGCTATTTGTCTTATAAAGTACATGGTTTCATGAAGGGAATCTTCCATTCTTACTCCATGAGGTAGTTCTTGGTTTTGTTTAAAGATTTCTAGATTTTTTTTTTTTACATATATATTTTACATTAACACACACACACTCACACACACTTGGGCAGCATGTTTCCAAATGAAAAGTCAACGAGGACTTTTAAAGTTTGGCAGCTGCATTCTCTAGTTCTGCGTGAGCTGAAGGATGCACATTCAGACGTCTGCTGAACCCTCCGTGAAGTGCATAGAAGCAGAAGTTTGTCAAAACTCTTATTTCCAGATCCGACTGACCCTAGCATGTGTTTCCCAGGATGCCGGGGGTACAGGAATATATCCAACAACCTATTCTCAACGGTCTTCGGGATAAGGCTTCCTATGTCAGGCGAGTAGCCGTCCTCGGTTGTGCCAAGATGCATAATCTCCATGAAGATTCTGAAGTGGGTAAGTTTCAGTGTAATCCATCGTGATCAGTATTGACTTGTGTCTCCACTCTGTGTGTGATTTTAGAAAGGGTTGTGTAGCTTTGACAGACAGTATGACGTGGGGCTGCTGCTTTCTAGGTCTCTAAGCAGAAGTAGGATGAGGAGCTTGGTGTTTTCTGGATCAGGGAAGACCTTTCTTTGGGACTCAGGTGTGATCCTTTTCCTTAGCTGCTTAGAACAGGCTGAAGATAATATTTTATGCCTTGTCCTCTGTTTTTATCCACTTTGACAGCCTGAACCTGGGGCTGTAGCTTTAGCTCTGTAACTCTGATGCTTTTCTTCTTTGTCTGAGACCTTTGTTCTTTTCTAGATGGTGCCCTGGTAAATGAATTATATAGTTTGCTGCGTGACCAGGACCCGATTGTGGTGGTGAACTGCCTGAGGGCTCTAGAGGAAATTCTGAAGCAGGAAGGAGGTGTCGTCATCAATAAGCCCATCGCCCACCATCTGTTAAATCGGTCTGGATGCCAGGACTCTTCATTGTGATGAGATGTGTTGTTGTGGGATTTATTGCTGTGTTGAATGAAGGAGACATCTTGAACAACTTCTGTAGAGTAGAAAAGAAAGTTAACTTTGACTATTAGCTTCCTTATAGTTCACTGAGAGAATTTCTTTGACTTGCCATAGTTTCTTATGGTAAAATAGAGGTGGTGGAAATACCTTGTGGGACTAAGCTCTATCGTTTTCTACAGTCATTATGTCCCCCAACTAAGCCATTTATGCTGATCTTTGGGTATCCTGACCCAGTCTTTGGCCTTAGATGAGTGTACTTTTCTATTATCAACCAGACATGGAACTTGAAGTCTGTTTTGTGTCTAAATAATGTGTTAAAAGAATGATTTGCTGATGGTACAGCCTATTTTCGCTAATTCTCCTTTTGTTTTGATGAATAGATGTCTGTGAACATGGCAATAGCATGGAGGTGGTCCTAATTTGGTTGCTAAAATAGCACTTTGTTTCCTTTTTTTGGGCAGAATGTCAAAATTGGACCAGTGGGGCCAGGCTGAAGTCTTGAACTTTCTGCTCCGCTACCAACCCCGCAGTGACGAGGAGCTGTTCGACATTCTCAATCTGCTGGACAGCTTTCTCAAGAGCAGTAGTCCCGGCGTGGTGATGGCAGCCACCAAGCTCTTTCTGATCTTGGCAAAAAAATTCCCCCACGTACAAACTGACGTGCTGGTGCGTGTCAAGGGGGCTTTGCTGGCAGCCTGCTCCTCAGAGAGCCGCGAGCTCTGCTTTGCTGCCCTCTGCCACGTCCGCCAGATCTTGCATAGTTTGCCAGGTCACTTTAGCAGCCACTACAAAAAATTTTTTTGCTCCTACTCGGAGCCCCACTACATCAAGCTGCAGAAGGTGGAGGTGCTCTGTGAGCTGGTGAATGACGAGAACGTGCAGCAGGTGCTGGAAGAGCTCCGAGGCTACTGCACGGACGTGTCTGTTGACTTCGCACAGGCGGCCGTCTGCGCCATAGGTAGGTGTCCGCGGCCTTCGTGTTGCGAGCCTGCACTAGCCTGCTGGAAGGCTGTGGGCAGTGGCCTGGGTCGATCCGCCTATTGTGCTCCCCACTCTGTCTCTGCTGAGTCCTCTCCCTGCCCCTGCACCTCTGGCCTGTACCCCAGTTCTGAATGCCTAAATAAATAAATAAATCTTTAAAAAAAAAAGGCAGTAGTTAAAAAAAAAAAAAAAAAGCAAAGGCTATTAACTTTTCCAAAGGCTCTGCAGTT